ATGTTTTAAAAATATATCACCATTTAAACTTGTGTTATGCTGCTGTTAGGTAGAATCTTTGGATCCGTGTTTCTCTTCTCTACCACAACAAAAGCTTTTGAACAGAATGTGCTCGTAAAAAGAATACATTTACAACACTGCCTTTATGCTGCACTATTAATATTTCAAGTTTAGATATTAATATAAAGTCTTTAACACCCCAGTTTTCAGATGCACATGTGATAAATCTCTCAAACATAAAAAGCATTAAATCTGCAATCTTATAGAGGGATATGAGTCAATATGTGTTTAGAGCTGTAGAGGAAGATTTTTTTTTTTTGTCTTATGCTTGTGAGAACAGGTGATCAAAAGTTTATTGGACGATCACATCCTACATTGCTTTCTTGATCATTTATCTGCCAGTATTTATATAAGCTCTTATGTAAAATTTTAAACAAGATCTGTTTTTTGCCCTTGTCCAAGTTTGTGGTTTTTCTTTTCTACACGTTGGAGTTCAATACGTATCTGGTCTAGGCGTAGGTCTAGGTGCTCTGGCAGTTGACTTCATTTTTACGTTCTGTGATAGAGCCTCAAACAAGCTTTCAAAACTATTAAGAGTAGCTGAAATACTTTGATGAATGTTTTATAACTAAATATTGTTCCTTGCAATTTTCTTTTTTTTAACCTTAGTTACAGATTAAAGTTTTCCTTACATTTAAAGATGGAGATATGCAGAGGAAGAAAGACAGCTAGTTTTTTTTAATCACGTTTCCATAAAGTAACAATAGCTACTATTACAGCTTTAACAAAAATCTCTGCTGTACTTATCTAGATTAAAATATATGAAAGAATTATCACTTATATCAAAGAGTATGGGACCCCCTATATGTAGTGCCATAATGCTTTTGTTCTGCTCTTTAACTATTGTGTCACAAAAGGGGAACTACAAGGGAACTACTTTTTACTAACAAACAGGCCTCAGCTATAACTTTTGAAATAATGTATTAGTTTTCCTTTAAGACTGACACTTTTTTAATTTGTTTTAAATTTAAACATATTATTATCATAATTACCATTATAGAAAAGAAACATTTGCTAGTAATGATTGTAAAACTCTTATTTCAGTATACAGAGGGCACCTTTTAATTACTTTATATCTCTGAGTAGAATAAGATCAGCTCAACCACAAATAGCATGAATGCAAGTGTGTGCATGTTAGTGAGGTCCAGCTGGCTTGGACAAACACAGACATGTTCCTCGAGGCCTACTGTCTGAAAATGAGGGACTCATCTTACTGATTTTAGCACCAAGACCTTTAAAGTGGCAAGATACTCTTGTTGCGTTGTGGCAATATTGACTAATTCATGGTGATGCATGATACTTAATCCTTTATCTGTGGCCTCACCTGCACAATTTGGTAATCATGGAATTTAAGTGAGGTTAATGGTAAAGCTATCACCTAATTACACCCATATTAGGCTGGCAGTACTCCAAAAAGTCTAATTTTGAAAGAATTGGGAATAATTGCCAAGAAGTTTAGTTTTACACTATTGCTCTGACTGTAATATGAAACATCTGAAGAAGCTGTAAAAATAAAGTATTCATTCTCTGCAAAAGACTAAAAAGAAAATGCTATTTGGGTAGGACTGGGCATACAGCTCCAAATTAGGCTTACACTTTGGCACAAATGATGATTCTAGAGTTATTGTAATCCCTATGGTGGGAATTTTGATAGGATGATAAAGAAAGCAACAAAAGATAAACAACAAACAGCACAATAGTTTATTCTTGCCTTTACACTAAGATGTTTTTTTTTTTTTGATAATTATGCAGTCTTAAAGATTCTGTTGTAAATGAGGTAGCATTAATATGATCAATCAATTAATCAATTAATTAATCTACATTTAAATGGTCTTATCAGTCAATTTATGATGAATTGATAATTGGACAATTTCTTAAAAACCTGATTGACTTGTATCAAGATGATCTTTCCATAACATGAAGGGCTAATCTATTTTTTTTTTCACAGTATACTGTGTAAAGAAATTGAATAAAATTATGAATAATGAAAAATTGAACAAAATATGTGAAACACATAATTTCCAATAAACAGACATGGAAAAATGCATAAAAGGACATGGTATGTCTCTCTGAAATACTGTCAGACTATTTGACTCTTTTTATCAAAAAGTAGATTTCAACTATAATAAGGCTGTCTCTTTTTAGTGTAATGTAGGAGTAAGTGCTGGAAAATACTTGTACTGTTAACAGTGCTTTTAAAAAGGAGGTTCTGGTTGTCCTCAGTGGAATGGTAAAACCTGTCTTCCACAAAGTGCATTAACACACAAAAGCCTACCGTGCTAATTGCCAGCATGTCCTATTCTATAATGTTACAAACATTTTCTGTAATCTCTTCCACTTTTCTTTAACAACATCCTCATCTTCAGAGCAAGTGAAGTGGATTCCGTTTTGGGGAAAACTTAAGGAGTTTTCATGTGTTTATATTTACAAACAACATAACATAAAGTGCATTCACTATCATTTTCAACATTAAATAGTGTAAATAATCCCAGACCGGACTCTGGCTTGACTAGTGTTTCTGCTCTAGAGTGATTCTGCTCTGGCATTTTTGATCATGCAAATATCACTGAGTTTCCACTTGAGAATAAACGGTAGTGCCCGGTAGTAGATAGCAGTAACATTACAATACTGGAATAAATTCCTTTTAAGTAAACTATAACATTTAATTGGTTCCAAACAATTTTAAATCAAATACACCTATAATGGAACTGTAATCTTATTTACGTTTTAGAAATCATTTTTGCGTTTTAGAGCATTCTGGGATGTTGCTGGCTAAATCATCAAGGTGTAACAGTGCCATTACATCGCTAATATAAAAAAATTAAATAATTACATCAATATGTACCTTAGCTAATGTTTTTGTGTGCTTAGCTTGGAAGTGACTGCCATTCATAAACCTTTTATTTCCTTTTTTAACTCTGGTACCAAAGTGTTGATACCTTAGCCTTAAAAAGGATAGTAGAGTTACTCTGAAATGTCATTAGTGAAGAGCTCAGCACTGTGCAGCAATTTCCTTAGTCCTGGGAGAGACCAGCCCCTGTTTCCATGGTAACATAGGCAGAGTAGACAGAGAGATTGTTGAGTAAAGAGAACTTGACGAGAGGTTGTGTGTGCATGTGTTAGTGTAAGTGAATATAAGTATGTGTGGGTGGATGATAGGAGGGTACTAGCCAGATAATGAACACAATCTAATTCAGCAAGACATTGTTTCTCATGGTCTGGTCCACCATAATTAAATGTTGGAGATTTGTGTCATTAGTAAAGTCAGCAGCAGTTTTCTCTTTCCTAATATGAACAAAACCTCTCAGGAGCTATGTTGTAATGAAAATGATGTGTATAAAATTGGAACTTCATATATTTTTAGTTTTCAAAAAATATATGTCAATGTTAAATGGAAGATGAATATAATAATGATTTTGAGAGTGATTAAAAGCTCAGTTTAGAAAAGCAATGTAATAGTGCTTTAGGGGGATAGAGAAATAGTTTAATCTAATTTCCACCTCTTGAGATGGAGTGAGAAACATGGTTAAAGGGTATATTTAATTTGCAGCATGACATGGCTGGACCCTGGTTTTACACTCACTAACAAATTGCTGCCTCAATAAGCAAATCAACAGGAACTAGAGAAGTGAAGCATGAGCCTTTAAGAACAAATTTTTGGGCAGAAGTTGTTCTGCTTCTTGACAGTTGAAGTTGCATCAGTAATATCAAAAGCCATACATTTCAGAATTTTTAATAATAAAATTTGTTTTTTGTGCAATCTACACAATCAGGTAGAGGTATTTTACTTTTTTCACTCACAAGATTTAAAGGTAATCCAGAAGTAGTGATTTTCATTGGGTAAAGAAGAACTGAGCCTCTACTTAATGATAAAATATGTACTATAAGAAACATGTAAAGGATGGCTTCATAACTATATATATATATATATATATATATATATATATATATATATATATATATATATATATATATATATAAATAGCCACTTTGTGACAAATAGTCATCATGGATTATGGTTCCCTCTGTTACTCAAAGGACCATGGAGGTGTTTAAAATCGGGGTAATGGGCTCTATGCATAGTTGAGCTATGCATAGAGCTCTTTTGTTTCCTGTTTTTTGTCTACCAGACAAGTCACCAAGGCCAGACACACTTGGATTAACCATTCCATCCAGTAATGAAAGACAGGAAACAAAAGTGCTGCCTTAAGTTCAGGAAGTAGTGGAGTTGTGCATAGAGCCCATTACAAGTAAAACGTATCAGGTCTTGGTTCAGAGCTCCACAGCAGGGGTGTCAAAGTGGTTCCAGAAAGGGCCGTGTGGCTGCAGGTTTTCTTTCCAACCAAACAATAGCACACCAGACTCCAGTCATCTAATCAAGGGAGTCCAATCTGAACATGATGACTTAATGATATGACTGGAGTCTGGTGTGCTATTGCTTGGTTGGAAAGAAAACCTGCAGCCACACGGCCCTTTCTGGAACCACTTTGACACCTGTGCTCTACAGTGTGAGTGGATACTGGTTTGAAAAATTAGACCCATGCAGGACTCTGGTATGGTTTAAAACAGAGCAGGACTGCATGATGAAGAAAGAATAGTCTAGGATTTTACTTTGGAATGTGGCATGCTTGGTTGACTAATTTGCAATCAGACTGATCTTAGCATCTTTCCGAGCATATCCGATCGCTCCTAACACACCACACCTAGCAGGATTACCTCCCCGATAGTCAAGGCCAAAAGGCCCTCTCTCAGAAAGGGGAGTTCGGGAATAAATCTGTAAGATAATTCTTTTCTATGAGCCCCCATTTACTTAAATTATATATTTCAGCAGTATTATATAAGATAGCTCAGATGTTATTTCTTTTCCCCATTTCCTTCCTTCTCCTTTGCAGGTCCTTCAACTACTACAGTGTTCAAATTTAAGAGGAATTGAAAGTTACCTGATCTTCCATCTCGCTGGAAGTCCACATGGTACCATTCACCATCATTTACTTTTTTGTTGACTGCCTTGGTCTTTGTGGTTCCTGAGCCCATATCTAATAGCAAGTAGAGATGGCCATCCAGCATCTCAATGGCAAAGAAGTCAACTTTAAGAGTTTGTGGTGTCTTGGAGTCTTTTGGTTGCTGCTTTGGCTTGCCATGACTGAAAAGTAGAAGGCCGTTGGGTTCGGTGGTGCGGAAGTCAAAAGAGATGGATCCTGTCTTCTTAGCATTCCATTTGTTAAGAATAATATATGACTCGGGTGTCTCAAATGTAATGGGATCCAGAGTGGCTACATTCTCACACTTAAAGGCCACAATGCCATGGACTTTCATCTTTGGATCACCCTGCTTGGCCAGTCTGGACAACTCAAGCCTTACATCATTGTTTTTGTAAACAACCTGAATTGGAGAGAGAGAATGAAAATTAGTCCAGGAGCAAATTCACAAAAAAAAAACAAAAAAAAAACACAGAATACACTTTCAAAACACAGTGTAAAATGTAGTCCATGAAGCTTTTAATCCTCCTGACAGCTTGATATTTGCTTCAAGAATTGGACATTTTTGTCACACTATACCTATGGGCGAGGGGTTTCACTTATGTCGAACCAAATGTCATTACTTCTTTCTGCTCCTTTTATGCTCCTTGTCTAAAGGAGCACAAATTGTACTATGTGCTCTAACTCGCCTACTGACAGGTAAAGAAGAAAGATATGCATTTAGATTTTTACTGCCAGCAAAAGTCTGTAATGTTTCAGTTTTTAAAGCACCTGTGAAAATGTTTGGAGGGAAATGTCATATAAAAGGTTTGAAGTGAGAGGAACTGAAACAATCTAAGCTAATGTCCTTATCACAGGTCAAGATTAAAATGCTATTTAAGGTCCTGGCTGGAGACTATGATTTTAAAAAAAAGTTAGCAGATGATGAATATGCCAATATCCAAATGCCTTTCAAAGAATTGGTGCATGAGCTAACTCATTTATTCTGTGGCACTCAGAGTATTTTGAACTCAATTTAGAGATTGTTTAGGTGAAAATCTCTCAACAATTTAATCCTGCAACCTTTATACATTATTTGTTTTAGGTCATGCTCTCAGGCAATGATTATATCCAGAACTGGATTTAGCATCAGTGGGGCAGACGAATAAAATGGAATGGAGCTGCGACCTCTGAGCGCCTATAGAGAGAGGGTAGAAACTCAATGTCATTCATTTTTTATGCCAGCTTCAACCTATTCAAGGTTACTGGGGTCTGAAGTCTGTCCAAGATGATGTCCAACTGGGAAAGAGGGAGGCTACATCCTGGTCAAACTGCACAATCAGTTTTATGTGATCCAGCAAAAACATCACATTTTGTCATGCTCTGTATCAGATTTTTATCTTCCTTTCAAACCAAAAAAAAAAAAAAAAAGTGCATAATTGTAAAGAAGATAAATGCTACATGTTTTTCAAAATTATATAAAGCTAAAATCTAAAAAGTGTGGAATGAATTTGTCTTCATACAGATGAGTTGATATTTGTGCAACACCATCATTCATCAAAGCTGTAAATCTTTTCGTGTATGTTTAAAGAACTCTGCAAAACTGCAAAACACTTGAAGCTCAACAAATATGGATAAGGAGTGCCTGGGAAAAACAAAATTTAAGTCTTGCCAAACTAGTTTAGCTCTTCATATAGTTTGGGCAACTCTAACACATAGATTAATGTATTTTTTGGGGGTTCATTAGATTTTGGTAAGGTCTTTATGTATTGCTGGAAGGGGTACTTTAATCTTTTGCAAGCTAAAATGGGTTTTTCAACTTGCAATTAAGTAAATTAAGCTCAACTTATCTTTCCATCCACTATAACCGGCTGTACTAACAGCAGAGGAAAAGTATCCTATAAGCCATCCTTTACCACTAATCAAATATTATTTTTCTCCTAGTAAACTGTAACCAGACATTAATTCCACACATACTACAAATTTCTGACTGGAACATCATCTTCCTTCTTTGATTTATTTTTGTGCGCGTCACAAACATTATGAAAGCTCCAGGGCTTCCTGTGGGGCAATATACATGCTCCCTATCAGTGTAACTTTGGAATAATTTACATTTTTATGCTGATGATACTCTATATTTGTCCTTAAATCCGGATGAGCTAACCTATAACATATACTACAGACAAATCTTGAAGACATAGAAACCTGAAAGACAGAAAATGTTATTCAGTTTCAAAAATAGTAAAAAAAAAAAAAAAAAAGCTAATAGTGTGCTTCAAAGAGCAGGTTTTCTGAAGGTTCCTTGAATTTCTAAAACTATGAGAGGCAGCTCTTTTAGTTATCAGATTCCTCTACTGTGGAACTAAAGACCAGTTAAAGTAGACAACCTGTCTACTTTTAAAACTAGGCTTAAACCTTTAAATTTTGTTAGGCTGCTGGGGAACATAGGACCTACGTTATATAATTTTTTATTCTCCAATTCTGCACTGTTTGTTAGTTCAACCTCTTACTATATGTTTTCTCTTCTTTATCTCAGCTGACATGTAGACATGTTCACTGATTAGTTAGTGCATTTAGTAGCAATGCGTTCCAGTGTGTATGAGGGGCATCCAAAGACTTCAATCTTGCTTTAATTTGATGAGACTGTGTTCTCCCAGTATTTTAAAGGCTTGTCAAAATATTGTGTAGCAACCTTTATGCAAAACAGTTTTTTCAGAAATGGAGTCTTGTGTCGTGAGCATCTATACAGCCATGGCTGTAGAGTACATTGCTTATTTTTTTCTTTGATATGATTCCAAGTCTTTTTTAGCCTCACCACAGGTGAAAGTAGTCTCTTTGACAATTTTTGAGGGGATGGTTTTGTTTACTGTGTCATTCTAGGTCTTTCTTAAACTCTCCAAAAATGAAAGTAGGCTCTTGGAAAACTACTCCGATAATTCTTTTTGTTGGGATCTGGAGGTCTGTCCACTTTTGCCCACCAGAGGGCGCCAAGGATTCCTCCTGAGGGCTTTCTGGGTCTCCTGGAGCTGATTGCACCACCTGTTGCTCGTTTGCTCATCAGGAGACCAGTATATAAGGAGGCAGAGGACATCACCCCAGCGCCGGAGTGTTTGCCAGTTATGGTTAGCAAGCCTGAGCCAACCTGCCTGTCTGAATCTTTGACTCCCTGAAAACCTGAACCTGATCCTGATCTGTTTTGTCTTCTCTGCTTCCCAGGTTGAACCTGTCTGAATTCAGAAACCCTGAAGAGTTTCTCTGTTGGAAATCTGTCTGTCTGATCTCTGAAGAACCCTGGAGAATCAAACCAGTCAAAGACCTGCCTGCCCGCTCTCTGAAGAATCTGGAAGGAAACTCAAACCTGTGATCTGAAAACACTCAAACCAAGCTCTGCCTCCACCAAGCCCTCAGTCTGCCGACAGCCTCTGGGCCCTCCTGGTTCCCCCCCCTGCCGGTCTGCTCAAACTCCAGAACAGGTACAGACCTGCACCTCCACATTCTGCAAATTACCTGGACTTCTGCTAACTCCTCTGTCCCCCTCTGCAGTGAACCCTGTCTTGACCAGTCCTGGATCTGATAACCCCCTGACCTGTTTATTGTACAAATCCTTTAATAAACCTTTGAACTTTTTCCCTGTCTGAGTGTTCTGCACATGGGTTAGGAACCTGAAACCAAACATGACACTTTTAAGTCCTCTATCAGAATTCTTACAAGTCAATTTTAAATGGCATGGTATTGCTGCCTTGGACGGTCACTCACGGGTTTCCCTACTTCCTCTGCTGTCCATTGGCAAAGATCGGCTGGAGTTAGCCTTGGATAGACTAGTGTCCATTAGCACTAGTAATAGTCCTTTGTTTATGGATGTTCAAGTTCGGCCTGTTTCTTTTTCTTTTTTTTTTTTATAAATAAATTAAATTGAATTAGACTGCTAAAATTAGACTGGTGTCAGTAGGCATCGCTAGGTGGTAGTAGTTGTAATTTTTGGGCTGACACCATGCCCTTCAGTTTATGGTAAAATTATGTTTTTACCACTTCCACATTATTGTCCAAAGTGCTGCCTCAGCGCTGCCTGGAACATTCATATGTTTAGAAATTCTCCATGATCAAATGCCATCAGTTTTTTTTTTTTTTTTTTTTTTAACATTTTGTAAATGAGTTATTTGCTTTTACACCATGAAATATTTTGTTTTACAGCTTGGTAAAGCACACCTTTTTATTAGACCATCAGTTTTGACTTAGCCAGCTGTTATTCATTTGCACTGATGAGGGTGACAGGATGGCTTTCTAATCAGTAATATATTTCAGTGGATTTCTTGTTTCAGAAAAAGGATTTCAATGCCTTTTTCTGCCTCACTTTCTACTAATGTTCAATGCTATTTCCACGCCACTGGACATTATTACTAGTACATTTAGAGTTTATTTTTTTTTGTTTCTTGCTATGTTTGTATTACCTGTTGTGTTACCAACACCTGTAAACATGTCCCATTAACAGCACCTTAATAAATATGTTCACTGTGTACTCATTTTAACTTCTGTATGTTTTTTCATGGTAAAGTATTTTAGTATTGGAGAAATAAAAAGTAATATTACCAGAACGTCAACCCAACAATAAAATTGTATAAAGTAGTAAAGGAAAAAAAATTCTGTTATCTCTGCCTGTTGGACTTGATGGAACAGATATAGCAAATACACCAGAATCAATTTTTATAGTCAAGACAAAGGGCACCTTTCAAGTTAAAGAAGCTTTGGACAGAGCAATGCTTTGCTCTGCGCTAGTAGTACTGCACTAATTTTTCATCAAGCATGGTTGTGACAACTGACCTATTACTGCACCACCATTTCTTTTGCCATCAGAATCAACAGGGAAGGCACACTGTAGTAACTCGGGCTAGTGTCTGCACACAAATACTGCAACAAAGCCCCAAGGGGACACACCATTAGTCAAGGAATAGAGCACATGCTGTTAAACTACATCTTATGTGCCATTGCAACATACTAGGAGGCTGACCTGTGAAGAGGCACCTGTGCAATTTCACACTATAGGCAGAGATGGGGTGCTCAGAGTGAGCAAATGTAGTGAAATGGCAAAGCGTGAATCAGCCAGAAATCCACCAACTGCATCAATACTCTCTCAAATCTCATAATAATTTGTGTAAATGACTTTTCTTATTATTAACAGGTTAATGCTATTTGAAGAGAAAATATAACATTGATTGTTTCATTTACTTTTCTGTTCATCTATGCATTTGTTTACCTTCCTTTGCAATCTACTATTTTCAAGGAAAACTGATAAATTATATCTGCTTTAAAACTTTCTCTGGAACAGAGATTATACATCAACTACAGTAGGCCTTTTGAGTACTCAAACTTGTACAGTATAACATGCAGAAGGCATTTAGGGGGGGTTGATTCTCAATCCAGTTGATTCCTTGCTGCAGCATTTGGCAGCAGCCTTCAGATGAAGTTCCAGCACACTACAGATAAAGTGTTTGAGATTTAACTACCGTACTTAGAAATTGAAAATTTTATGCTATATAAATTAATCACCAATATAATCCCTAATTCTGATTCTAAAACCATGAAACATAATTTATAGAAAAGCTTAAACTGACATACCACCTGATGCATTATCATAAGGTGTTCTTTTTTTGAAAACTGATATTCAAGTAGCAATATCTCGCCAGTATTTGTCATTCACTTGAAGGTCTGAAAATAATAATAGTAAATAATTGTGAGCTGGAATGTAACTTGAGGTTCCTGACCCTGTGTGCAGGATTATCTTTAGAGCTGCTTTGGAAGCACGGTTTTGGAAATCACCAGACTGTTTTACCCATTTCTGCGACAAGATGTTGAGCTTCTTTTGAGACTGCCAATTTTGTGACTAATATGTGATTTTGTTTTTAAAATTACTTCTACATTCTTTTATGAATACACTTTAGAATTTTGTTCACACTTGAATTTTACAGAACCAAGGGACATGCAGTCTTTTTTGCATATTTAGTATGTGGTGAAATCCTAATCCTTTTATTTCGTTCTATTAGTTTCGGTAACTGGGATTACAACAGTGTAAATTACCCTAGTATGTTATACAGGCTCAGCTCTCCACCTGTTTTTATTGTTCTTCCAATTAATCTTGCCAGACAAATTGGTGTAATGATGTGAAGGATATTTATTCTTGGCACAATTATGGTATCTTAATTTGAGCATTATGATCAAAGTCGATGGGTTTTCTGTCAGCCACTTCTAGAAGGATAATACATCATGTCACAAGTAATATCCGAGAGATTTCTTTGAACAATTAGTTCACTGTAAACCTCTGGTATTCAATGATTGCAATCCAATTTAGTACATTGATCGAGAGAGTGGCCTCATTGATCAGTAATATTCATATCTGCAGCAATTTCTTAAAGCCATCATTTCAATATGAGAACATTTCTTACAGTAAAATCAATATCATAAAGAAGTACACAAACTCTAAATATACAATGGAGGTGCAACCTGGCTCTTTCAAGATGTAAATGGTGGACACTAAATATGACTAGGAATAAAACAATTTGAAAAATGGTAGACAGTTGCTTTGACCTTATATGAGATTGGTAGTCGACCCATTGGGGGTGGGGGTGTTTCCCGACTGTTTATGAAAATTCACTACCTTATCTCTAGATGAGTATTTTTCTTTAATGTATAATTTACAGAACTGCTGGAGAACAATGATAAATTCCAGAATAAGACAGAGTTTAGGAGGTATCTTGGAATTGGTTCAACCTATGTCTTAAATATTGTATGTCCACAGATACAGAAATTTGCATCAAACTATTTTAAGAGAAGAGGTATAGCAGAATTAAAGAGAATGTTCAGAAAGACACAAGGGCAGTGTGTGGGTGTGAAAGGCCAGTTACGATGTCCTGAGGTGAAGCCAGTGGTACATTCCATACACCCACGAGTCATAAGAGTTCACATAGAAGTGGTGTTTACCTCCTTCAGGCAACCCATGAAGTTGTTGCTAACAGGAGATCCAGGCAGGTCCGCTGTACTAGGGCTCCCTCCAACATAGAAAAAGTCATCCGAGCCCAGCATGGTATAGTCCTCCTGTGTATATCCTGTGGTGGTCAGAATCCCATCTACAGATATGGTTACCTATACAAGAAAGCACAGGGAAAGGACATACTATAGCGAGGCAAACTAAATTATCCATATTTACTCCTTTTCCTTTGTCAGTCCCATATTTTCCTGTTTTATAATCCCAAACCCATTTTCATGTCTGATTTAAGTGTCCTTTTTTCTTGTTTTTATATTATTTTGTCCAGTTTCATTAGTTGGAAGACCATAAACCTTCAAAAGAATACAGTTTTGGTCATAAAGTTAGTAAACTGCCCATACTACAGTGTTAGTATTGCCTTCAATGCAACTTAAAAGTAATTTAGCAGACACAAAAATGGTGTTAGTATAACGTCATCTTGGTTAGTTAAACTGAACTCATATTTTAAATTAGTACATTTAGTAGTTAAATTAGATCACAGCGTGCCTCTAGGTTAGAAGGGGACACATGCAGTCACCTTTTAGTATGGAAAAAAAGGTTAGGTTACTAAGAACATGCATGTATTTGTATTTTCTTTTTGTTTAAAAGTAATCAAAAAGAAACAATTCCCATTTTTTTATGTGGATACTGAATTATATTTTGTATACTTGTCACAGTGTCACATACATGCAAAAACGTATGGAAGAGTTAATGAGCACTGCTAGAGCACAAAAGGAAAACACAAAAAATACTAGGGAAGAAATAGCAAACACAGTTCAGATGTAACATACATGTTGGCTAATGCAGTTTTACATTTCCAACATGTACGTGAAGAGGATGACATGCAAAGTGAATGGGGATACAACTGGCTGAGCCACAGAGCATCAGTCCAGCCAGAGAAGAGGGCGTCTTGATTATTAATCACAGCTTGTTGCAAATGGCTCGAAAATGATGCTCCTAAAAAAGAGTGGGCCAAACAGAAGTGGACAAAAAAACAGGTGTAACAAACTAAGTGAAAACCAATGAATGAACCGAGAAATAAAACTAAAAGAATTTGAAAAGTAAGCAGAAGAGTACCAACCGCAATTTCCCTTATTTTGTAAATGACGTCTACAATAAAAAAAAAGAAAGAAAAGAAACACACGGCAAACCCAAACTAAGAAACAATTAGAATGATATCTACCGAACAATGTAGTTTGTTTACCATAGCGTGTCCAATGCCTGAGTGCTTTGTGGAAAAGGGGGGAGAAAGGAAAGTAAAAACTGTGAACAGAATAACGATTGTTACTCAAATAATATATGATGGTCAATACTGTTAGCACATTGTTAAACAACAAAACCCATACTGGTTAGTAGAATGGTACATTCCATGAATGATGTTAGTTTGTTTCCAAAGCATGTTAGTGACATAGAGAAAATAAAAGGGCAAAATAAGTTCAACAAGAAAAAAGCTGACCAAGAAAAATAAGAAGAATGCCCCAATAGTGGAGCGAGAGCTCATCCAGTGATTCTGAAACTTTCTTTATAAAGTTCAACTCTTAAGTGTTTGAGGCCAAACAGCAGCTGAATTACAGAAAAAAAGGGGTTTGGAGCAAAACAGCATGATTTAAGATATCATATGGTTTAAAAAAGAATCCCTAAAGCACATCAATTGACCCTCTTTAAGTAGTTTTATGTTTAAAGTTAATAAAAACCTTTTTAACATGTTAATATTGTTTAAATATAGAGATGTTTTATTATTGTTTAGTCATCAGCAGTTTCCCAATCCAGCACATCAGACCTTTTTTTTTTTGCACTCACTTGATACTTTACCTTTCATTTGGTCTTACTGATGAACTTTAGGATCACTTTACTGCAATGAGACAAAGAAAGAGGACCTGACAACGAATGAGGAGGATGGATATTTTGATCCCCCATAATCCATGCATTCAGTATGCTTTTTTTTTCTTTTATATTTGAATTTGGTGAAAGTTCAAATTGTAAAGAGCCAGTGCTTTGTTAATAACTACAGTGCAGAGTCTGAAATTAAGCATTTTAATGATACGGTAAAGATAAACACTTTCCAGCAAGGGAGCAGGAACAAATCTAGAGATTTTCTCTTGTGTTCAACTGCTAACTGCAAGAAAAAAAAAAAGTGTTTACCTGTAGTTCAATAGTCTAGCCTAACCATTTGATTTATAAAATCATAAACTTCAAGTTTTTTAGGTTTGCGTTAGTAAATACATATGCATGAACAGCAGAAAATTCCTTATATTTTTTCCATGGTTATACTTAAATACTTTTTTCTGCCTTTTTTATATAAACCAGCCAGTATGCTTTTATAAGCACAAAGTTTATAAATAGTAAAATTAAGGACTACACTATGAAAAGAGGCACCTCTACTTTAAATAATGCTCTTGTACTTATACTTTTACACAATGTAATTCATCAAAAGATACAATTTTGTAAGCTTTAAGTATACTTCAACAAATATTCAACTTTATTAGATAATGTTATATCAGCGGCAAATTAAGAAAGTATACTTTGTTAAAATGCAAATAATATATTAAACCTGTTAACCTGTAGAAACGACCTGTTCTCATTAAGCTCATATCCCAAATCCCAACTGAATAATCCCTAGAAGAGCGTTGTTAACCTTTTTGTCCTTACTGAACCTTTTTGGGGGCAGTTATTACTTTGAAGAAAAATAACATTTAATACTATTAAGTTACTCAGATGTGGTTTGCATAACATATTACCAATGACAAGAAAAGAGAACGGGTGAATACGTGTGTCAACTAAACATTTTTCTGTGGTCATGGATCTTACACTGCTGGGGCATTTTTTCTACAAAAATGTTGTTGGGAAAGAAGCATTGTTTTTTTTGACAAAAAAAGTCAACAGACCACTCATTGTGTTAGAGAACAGATTGTAACAAATCTTTTCATTGATTCACTTTTACCACAAAGGTTAATTTATTTGTTAATAAATTTAATTTTCTTACCCTCCTCAGAACAGCTGGTTACTGAGACTATTTAATGTACCTGTGTCTGGTACAAATCACAGGTAAAACATTTTCATTGTTTACCAACAATGGCTCATTAAATTATGGGGGCTCTCTACAATACATTAAAAAGCTACTGGAAAGACTCTTTACTGTCCTTCTTAGTCTTCCACTCTTGATTGACATTAAGTAAGAATAATGTGATCATTCCAAACATTATAACAGAAATAAGCTAATAGAAGTGAAATTGTTTGGATCCCATTAGAAAGAGTTCCTGTGTTGAAAATTTTCATTTTCTTCGACTCTCATCTTGGATGTACATTTTCTAACAGGAAGTTAGCTAGACATATTTGGGCTTTGGATGATAAAATTAAGTATAATTACCCCAACTTTATTATCATATAACATCTTCAAATGAAGTATCTTTTGTACCCGTAAAAAATATAAAAATAAATTAAAAATCTGTTTTTATCCTTAAAAAATAATTTTGCGGAGACTATTGAAATCCACGTGGACAGGCCAAGCTTTTTAGTTTGAAATAGAAAATCATAAGTTAATTGTAGTCTTAATTTAATTCTAGATGTCCTTGCTCTCTTGTGGTCCTGTTAAGGTGTCCATCAAAATGATTAAATTAGGTTATCCAATTCAGAGTTGGGGGGAAATATTCTATGATGGCAGTGGTTTAAGTAAATTTAATTTTTTTAATTAGTTAATCTTTTCATCACCATTTTTACTGTTACCTGACGTAGATTCCGTGTAACTTTGACATCATGCCAATCATTGTCATTAAATTTTCCATTGACTGGCTCCACAAGAGCTTCAAAGGCTCCAGACCCCAAATTAATGACGAGTGACACAGCCCCATTTTTCAGCGCCAGGTTGACGTAATCTGCAGATTTGCCCGTGTGCAGCATTAGTCCGTTCCTCTGTAGGGTTTTGAATGACAATGTGATTTCATCACTGCTGCTTTGAATCGGGTTCAAGGACAAGTCGTAGCAGAAGAACTCAGATCCTTTGAAGGTTGCAACATACTCTTCTTTTCCTGAGGAGACAAAAAAGAGAAATGTTTCATCAATGTTGGGGCCTCTCGGGGCTTATTGGGAAGGCCATCTAAAAGGGAAAGAATGCCTCAAAATGCAAGTCCACTAAACTGCTCTAAATACAAGGAAATGTACACCAGAACAGATATTTAGTATTTGAGGAGATACATTCAACTTTGTCACAGCATTTTTTTGTATGGCAAACCAGAGTTTTTACAGTGTGATAGACATGCAATTGTGATTTTTAAATTAGATTAGATTCAACTTTATTGTCATTGCACAGGTACAAAGCAACAAAATGCAGTTAAGGTCTAACCAGAAGTGCAATAACAGCAAGTGCAGGATATGCAATGCTATTACTATAAAAAATAAAACTAAAACTTGAACCGAAGTTTTCCGATTTAAAGTGCAGTGGAAGGTCATTGCATATTACAGTTAAAGTACGATATTGCAAATGTATATAACATTTCTGATTTCTGATCACAGCTGAAAGAAATGTGAAGAGAGCTCTCTCTTACATATAAAAATGGGTGTTTCTTTTCCTTTCCTTAAAATAATCTTTATGAAATATTCTAACCAAATGCTTTCTTTATGTAGATTCAATCATAAGACTGACCATATTTTTATTCTTTTTTAAAACTGTTAATCATTTGAAACAATTGGCAAATTTTTGTTCTTTAATTAAATCATCAATAAAAAGCAATTTACTGTTTTCATAAGTTCATAAGAGAAGAGAGAGATTCTAAAGATGCTGTAAATAACATTTTATATGCCAAACTGTAAATAGATATGTTCGACGTTGCTTTATGATTCATCACTGGCCAGCTACAGTTATCAAGCTATACCAAAGTCACAAAATGTTATGGTTTCTAAACCACTAAAAAAAAGTATCATTTTGATCCTACTGTTTACAGTTCTTTTCATTATATTGCAGAGAGAGTGCCAGAGTTTTCCCAAGAGTGGTGGATTACTATCCCTCCCACAGCAGTTGATTGTGCACTGCAGCATTTTATTTTCTTAATGTTTAGAGAAAGACTAAGTAGTCTGCAAATTTGCAAAGACACAGAAAACAAGAACAGTTAGGTTAAGGGCACTAAAATAGTGTTAAGATTACTATCATTGACAGAGAGCCTGAACATAGTAATATTACCGTTTACTTTTACTAATGTACTGGTACCCGATGTCCTACACTTTATTCAGGACCAGGTCAAAGGGGTGGCAGTCTCAGCAGAGACTCCCAGACTTCCAGCTCTGCTAGGGAAGCAGAGACACTCTCAGGCCAGCTGGGACACATAGTCCCCTCTGAGTATCCAGGGTCGGCCCCTGGGCCCCCTCCCAGTGGGATGTGCCTGCAACACCTTCCAAGGGAGGTGTCCAGGGGATATAAAAAAAAAAGATTTCTAAGCCACCTCAGCTTACTCTCTCCTCTCCATATCATTAATGTAATACTGTTTAATACATCATTTTGAAAAACAATGCAGCTGCATATTTCTTGTGCAGGCTTCTCAGATAACTTCATAATTGAAGACCTAATATCGTGTAGGTCTTGTATATTTTTGTATAATTTCAGGTCAACTTAAGATTATACTGTGATAACATTGTGTTTCTATCTTGATATTTTTATCTTGGGAGAGCCTTGGCCATTTACATATTTACATGTGTGATGCATCAGTAGTAAAGTAGGAACAAGTTGAAAGACCGCAAACAGAAAAACTGAAAAAAAATTCCAATCTGATTGTTGTACTTTACAGTGCTAATAAAGCTGCTCTGCACAACAGTATAACATTTAATATGTACAGGTTGGGTAACTGCAGCTGATCAGACACACATTGATCAAAAAAGCTCAAAACTGCTGTATTACTGTCCCAGCCATTGAGTGCAATCAACAACTGCGAGGTTAAAAATTACTTATAATATTAAAACTCGAAAATTTTCTTCATAACTCAAGATTACTGTAATCTTCCCTCTGAGTATTTGCTAACACTTGCTGAATTTGCAGAGACTGGAAGCCAAGGTAAATTAAGTAATTAATTGATTCAGTATTTATATCAACATTTGAAAAAAATATCATAGCAACACGATTAAAACACTATTAATATTACTTTTACTATTATTGGACTAAAGCTGTAATATTTTATTTTAAAAAATTTTTGAAATTTGATCTGGGCTGGTTTTAGGTATTTGGCAAGAAACACATATATTTCACAAAAAATACATCGCCTGAGAACTTTATTTGACAAAGAAAAAACTGTAAAGTGTAAATACAATATTTAGTGAAAAATATTATATAAATAACAATTTGAATTTAATGTACCCTCTAAGCCTGATCTTTAAATAATACAAATGAGTGCTAATTTGCAGTAGAGATTTTTGCACATTACTTATACAACTGAAGAGATGCACACACCGGTTTGGTTCTGCTCTACTAATACGAGTAAACTTCATGTGCCTCTGGCAGTTTTAAGTGCAATCCACATAGTGCAAATTGGTAAGGGCACATGAGCCGAAGCTGGTGTGCATTAGAAGTCGCCATAATATGTGCTGTCAAAATTGGGTGGGCAGTATAAAGAAAGAAACGCATGCAAGAGAATGCAGAAGCCCATTTCTCCTTCTGCACGCTCTGTTTAAAAGTTGCTGCGTCGCTCATACAAGCTTACGTACTTTCAAAAACAATATTTGCAATTTTTCCACTATGTCAGACTCACCACCGGCCTCACATAAACATGTCACTAGAATGATTGACAATTAGGACGACCACTTATTTTGATGATCCAGCAGGTAAAAGAACATCTTTCACTATACCTTTAAGTTCAAACCACAATTTCCAGTTAATTTGGTAAAAAACAAAAGACAAAACAACCTGAAAATATAGTCATTAACTTTGCCTTCACTAACTACCGTATGTGCCATTTTGTATTGTGTGTAACTAAAAATCCCACTGAAATGCATTGAATGCTGTGGAAAGATGTACTTTATAGAGTATGAATGTGCTAGACTGCAAGTCAGTGTTTATAAAAAATTATAGAAAAACATAATAGCAGAATGGTATTGGAAAAGAAATCATCTATACTGCCCCATTTAGTGGGGGACATGTGTTTTTGAGTAAACTCAAGCAAGTAAGCACTCATCAGCCATCAGTCATCCAGGGATTTAACAAGAACATGACAAAAATAGCCCTGAGAAAACATTAACACTGTTGCAGTGATGTATAAACAAAACAAAGCAGCAATGAGCGTCGGTGGGCGATGCGTGCGTGTAGCCATTAGAGAGCACTTAAAAACAAGTTTAGACAAATAACAGGACATTAAAGTCACAAGCAGAAAATAAACCACTAAAACACAAATGGACCAAAGCATTCAATTATCATAGACAGGCTTGTTCATTTATGTATGCGCACCAACCCAACACTTACACACAAAAACAAACTCAAGCATACATGCTTAGAGGGGCACCAAGGCATGGATGCAACAATGTAAGAAATAAAAGGAGCTGCTGTCCACAACAATTTGTCACCTCATTGATTTCCCCTTAAAGGAGCTATAGTGCACCTCTGGGGAAACTACATGGGGCTGTAATTGAAGCTGACTGGATCTGAACACTCTTTGGTCATTCTCTTGGTGTCCGAGACCCCTATAAGTGAAAATGAGAGAACTCTACCCTCCTTACAAAACCCACATTCCACAGTGAGCATATAACAAATAGAGCCAGTAGTTTGGGGTCATTCCCATCTCGTACAATGCAACCCCAATAACTGCAAATTATAAGTAATTCCACCAACCACAAGGGTGTGTCACATGTGTTTTAACAAGAAGTAATAATATATATTCAAAACATTTCAAGCTTATCCAATTGGATACTTCTCAGCAACAATGTCAACTTTGCCATATTTAAACAGTAAAATATAATACATCATATATTTGTAAATCTTTATAAATACATTTGTGTTTCTGACACAAGCCCTCTTTGTGAAAATCCCTCCAAGACATTGTTAAGGTCATATTAGATTGGTTTCTTTCATTGTTGTCTATGGCAGGCTTGAAAAAAACCCCAGGGTTCTGGAAGGATTTCACCATAAGGCTTTCAGCCAAGTCGAGTGTCAGATCTTGAATGCAATTCTGGTCACCCTTAAACAGCTAACAGCTCATATGCACTCTTGGCTTGTTCTAATGTTCTCTCCTCATCTGGATCAAATATACTAAACAATACCTTACAAAAAAGTTTACATAAAAGTGAAATTGTTACTAAACTACAGTAACTGCTTGTTTTAAATTTATGGCAATTACCTTTTTCGGTACCATCTTTTGGGAACCATTAAGAGATCGTTGTTCTTGTTCATTGTTCTTAATACTGACATATCTCCTAAATTACTTAAAGTTTAATTTCTTAATGAAATCTTACAAATAAATGAAAAATTAAGAACGATGCAAGATTAGAAATGACAGTACTTAAAGCTACAGTGTGTAATTTTCAGCGACATCTAGCGGTCAGACTGCAGACCGCAGCAACATGAACATCTCCCCCCCACCGCTTCTCCCCCCCAACAGTACGGCGAGCGTTACGGGACAAAATTTCTTCCACGACGTCCGCATCACCTACCCTCTCAAGTGATGAGGTTTGTTTACATAGATAATTTTACAGATAGTATTTCATTAGTCTGAGTAGGGTATAGATTTCATGTAGACTTAAGATAATAAATATACCCGTTATTTTTTCTACATCGTTGTGACGTTTTGGTGAGCTGCTTTGCATGGTGATATAAACAGACTACTAATTGTAGTCATTAGTTTAACAGCGAGATTGTGTTCGCTGGAAGAATATATATTCCCCGTTTACAGAGTCCAAGTCATTTTGGTGGCACGGGGGTTACAACGCGAGGAAGAGGGAGAGGACGAGGGCGAAGGCAGGGAGGCCGTGCAGCTAGGGCCAGGCGAGAGAGGGGTGCCAGCGGGGTGAGAGCAGAGGAGGAAACGCTTGAAGATCTCCAAAGGAGCCGGAGAG